GAAAAAAAAATTATATAAATGACTTCATAAGTTGCATCAAACAGGAGCAAATGTGGCCAATCCAAAAGAAAAGAAAGAGAAAAAAAAAAAAATACCAAATGTAAGTGTAGTTTTCAATTGAAGAGAAGAAAAAATTAGAATAATGAGGCTAATGTATGCCAATTAGAAATAATGAGATTGAAGCATGCCAAAATTAGTCAATGTTCTCTTTTACGTATCTTATTCCAATATATATGTATTTTTTTTGTGATTTTCTTAATATTTATAAATTAGAGGCCGTAATTTAAGGAGTACTGCCTATGATAAGATTTAAATTCTTAACCTCTTAGTAAGACATCTGGATTCTGACAAATTTATAAATTTGAAATTTAAAATTTAAAATATTTTTGATAAATAATTAATGATATTGGTTAACAAGTTTCATAAGAAAATGGGTGAAATATTTATAAATTTTAAATAGTGATCTTATGAACTGTTTGATCTACTTCTCTTTTTTTTTTTTTCCCTTATAAACCCAAAAGTTTCATTCTAGCGTGAATTACATAAAGGGCCAAGCATAAACATGCGTGTATTTTGTGTTGAGGAATGTGAGTTTTCTCATATTGTTGAAATTACCAAACGTAATATTTTTAAAAAATTCTTTAGTGTATTTTTTCTAAACGTAACACTTTAATTAATGTAACACTCCAATGCAATATACTAAAAAATTCGTTAGTGTATTTTTTCTCAAACGTGACAACGTAACATTCTAAAAAAACTCATTTGTGTACTTTTGTTAAACGTAACAATATAACATTTCAAAAAATCTCCTTAATATACTTTTTTCAAACATAATACTTTAATTAATGTAACACATAAAAACTCTTTAGTATACTTTTTTTAAAAATAATACTACAATCAATATAATACACTAAAAAATTTCTTAGTGTGCTTTTTCCAAACATAACATTCTGATGTAATAAACTAAAAAACTCAAAAAACTCTTTAGTGTACTTTTTTTTAAACGTAACAACGTAACATTCTAAATAAACTTCTTAGTACACTTTTTCAAAACGTAATACTTTAATCAATGTAACACAAAAACTATCTAGTTTATTTTTTTCCAAACGTAACACTCCAATGTAATACATTAAAAAACTTCTTAGTGTACTTTTCTCAAACGTAATAATGTAACATTTTAAAAAAAAATTCATTAGTATATTTTTTTCAAACATAACACACCAATCAATGTAACACATCCTTAGTGTACTTTTTTAAAATGTAGGACTCTAATGTAACACGCTAATGTAACACTAGAAAATCATACTAGCAGAAATGTAGATTTTCACGATCGACAACCAAAATTTCAGCCACCAATTCCCCTAAAAGGAATCTTTTACACCTCACATTTCTATTTCCATTCCAAAAACGAATAAGAAAATTAAAAAAAAATGAATCACAAAAGGACATTCACTTAAACTCAAATAATATCAAATCAAATAGATACAACTTTTCAAAACAAAAAGGACTAATTAGTTCATAAAAAAACTCTTAAGACTAAATAGATTAATATTCTTCTATATGAGATTTATGGGTAAATTTTCAATAAAAGTTTAAATAATTATATATTATTTGTTGAACATACTTTCATACATTATGTACAATCTTTTTTAATGTCTTAACAAGTGTCCTCAAGCCACTCGTAAACAAAATTTATAATTAATAATTAATAATTTTTTACAAATATATTATGACCAAATTACGTAGATAATATTTATACCTATATTGTTTTATTCTTAACATATCTATATTTTATATTTTAGGAGAAATTTATTAGAAAATCCTCTTTTAAGCACTTGTATTTCAATTATTTCATAACACATTTTTGTATTCTAATAAGTCCTATTATTTGGAAATTTGATTCACCAAATCATAATTCTCATATTTTAAGTATTTTATGAATAATTTTACCCTTACAAATATTTTTTGAACCCTTAGTAACTGGTATGAAGTATTTTGGAGTATTTTGTAGTTTTTATATATTAAACTTTAAAAATTCATAATTTTTGTTGTACATTTTTTTTTTATGAAATTTATATTTTTGAAACTTAGTTAACGAGATCTATTAAATAAGATCCCACTTGAATATGTAATTTTATAAAATAAAAATAAATAAATGAATTTGACAGTGGGATGTTTGTATTGAGAGTGAATGTTCACATTAAATAAACTTGATAGTGTGAATGTTCACATCATGAAACATTCACATTATTAATGTGAATATTAATATGAGTTTCACCCTATTATTATTATGAGTATTTTGATATCTATGTCACTCATAAGACTTATTAAAATATAAAAAAATATTTTAAACTAAGTAAAATATAAATAGATAAAAATGAATTTATAAATAAATGTTCATATATTTTAAAAATTTATTGTGTATATATAAATACATTCATATTGTATTATATCGATATCCGTATCCATAGACTTGGTTTGTTTGCGAGCACGGTAATTGATTGGGTCGCAACTCACAAGTGTGTTGTTGATCAAACATTTCTAAAGAATATAATCAAGAAAAAGATTGAAATCTCAGGATTAAGATTCTAGAATTTATCTAGAATGAAATGAGTATGTATGGTTGAAATTAAATTAATAAAATGTGAGATTTATAAATAAAATAAATTTGAACCATTGATGATTATTTTTGAATAAATTCCATATAAATAACTATGAATTTATAGTATTGTTGATATAATCAATTAAGCAAGTGGGGATCATGTAAATGTCGGCTGCGTGGACAACCAAATCTTAGGATTATTGGGGACCAAAAAAAAGTTGGAAAATTATTAAATATATTGGGAATATTAAGTGGCAGCATCTACTTTGTATTCTCAATAAATAAAAAATAATAATACATTCGTTTTGATAGATTTAAATTTTTTTGAAAATAGTTTCCGAGTTTACACTTTGTATTTATATTGAATTTTAATCAATTTTTAAAAAATATATTTTTTAGATACATTTAATTTAGATACACTTAAAAAAGTATATATAATTTGTGAAAAAATATTTACAAATGTAGTAAATACAAAAAGATCAAAATAAATATCAACTTTAGTACATTTTTATATTTTTTCTATTCATTGAATTCTTTTTTGATTTCTTTACAAATATTTTACTTTTTAAGTAGATTTAGATTAAGTGCATCTAAAAAACAAAAAGTTTACTAAAAAACAAAACATGAAAAAAAAAAAAATCAAAAACTCAAAACAAGGTAGTAAGATTTTATACTACATAATTAATTTAAAATATCACGTATAGTTATACGACACTACTGAATAATTATATTTAATAAAGATGTGTTAGGTTTCTGTAATTGGCAATCTCGTTGGATAAAATTTTGTTTAGTTGTATTTTTATTCATTCTATTGTATCTGTGAGGTTATGAGAGTTTAGATACAAATCCAATCCGAGTTGTGTTTGTGCAGAGAGTTCGTGTTGACATTTCGTATATTGACTCGAGCATTATTGTTTTCCACTTCGCTAACTAAGTACAAGGATCTCGAGCGGTCATTTGTGCGCTCGAGCGGTGAAATGATTTATCCAGTATCTCTGCATGCGTCTGAACTTTTGGGAGACAAGTTTTACCACTCGAGCAGTAGATCCTGTGCTCGAGCGGTTGGCCTATATGTTTGCACCGCCTTTACTCACATCGCTTGAGTAGTAAAGTGTACGCTCAAACAGTTTTTGTGACTCTGTTTAGTATAACGTGTGCTATTTGCTATTTTTAGGGTTTAAACCATTCAGATTCTCAGAGAAGAGTAAATACAAAGTGTTCTAGATTGGAGGGTGGTTTATATGAGTTTTCTTAATGTATCAAAAGCGATCGATTGATCAACAATTTCATATTGAAAAACATCAAGGGTTGATTTTGCTTTTTTTTTATTTTTTTATTTATTTTATTTTATTCACAAAAGAGAAAGATGTTCATAGGTGGATTTTAGGGAACTTGAGTTTAAAGTTTTGATGGATTCCGGAGTGATTTATTGTCGTGGATTCGACATAAGCGTTATGGATTCAACATTGGGCAAACCAATTTCGTGGTGAAGACAGTGATAAAAGAGGTACATCCGGTTTGGTTCAATTTGGGAGTGGATTCGTTAAATAATTGAGAGTTCTTGTATGTAATTTTTTTTTGTTTTTTTAGTAGATTGCTTTGTGACTTTGGTTTGTGATTTTTTCGTCACAATTGGATAAATTCAATTATGATTTTTTCCATATTAAATCGTTATGTCGATTTGTTCTTAATTGTTTGATTATAATTGTTATTCATTATTTAAAATTAAATTATAATTACAAATTAATATTTTTAGAATTTTTAGATTTTTCAAGATGCCTTTCCCACGAAGTAATTTGGAGGAACTGAAATTCCATTGCCATGCCAATATTAATTGAACTTTTCTAAAGAAAAAGCGAATAAAAGTAGAAATGCCTTTGAATTAATGCATCGGGGAATGATACCTTTCTTATCTTGCTCCAACTTGGAGAGTACAACTTGATGCATGGAACTTGACAAGAAGCTTCCAGGCATTTTAACTCCAAGGCTGCAAGGGTGATTTGATTGAGCAAGGATCCTCTAGAGTTTTTTTTCCCTAAAGTTTCCTAGAGTGGTGCATGTGGTTGAGATTTAATGACAAGTTACATCAATTTTTCAACATTAAATCTCAACCACACAATACACCACTTTAGGAAACTTTAGGAAAAAAATACTTTAAAGGATCCTTGGTGGATTTGATTCTCCAAAAAAATAAAAAATAAAAAATAAAAAATGCAAGGGTACAAATATTACGTGTCAAAATCATGGACATGAAATTGAATCCCTAGTTAATTTTGTAGGGAGAATTTTAACATAGTGAGACGGATAAAAAAAAATTATCTTACAAAATAAATTGTTCGAATCATTATAATCAACCTTATGTGAATTCACTTCTAAGCCATCATGAGTGCCTTCTATAAAAACGAGTACAATCCCAATTTCCCAAAACAACAACCCAAGTGAGAAGAAAGAAAAGAGCAATTAGCAAAACTTGAAGAAAAAAGTTGTGCAAGTTTTGTTTTTCAGACCAAGAGAGTTGAATCGATGGGAGGCAGTTACTCGGACCTCGGACTTGACAAGTCTGAATCAGAAGCCGATGATGGATCATCGCCCATCACCACCCTCAAATCAGTTAAAGATTGGGACAACAAGGTTGCAGAAAGCAAAACCCCCCAAAACAAGAACAAACTGGTAATGAAGCAAATTAATTCCTGCGCACAAATTACAACTAGCTTTTTTTTTTTTTTTCGAATGATGTTAGATGTTGATAAGGTAGATTACAATGAAAAGACCGTAGTCACTCTATCATGTCGAAACCCAAACTTTTTACCTTCTCATTGTCTCGAGTTACAGTTACATAAACCACTCGGCCAATTACTTTGTCCAATTTCAATTATGTTATTTATATTGTTCTTGTTTTGAGATCTCTACTAATATATACTCTCTCCATCCCATTTTATTAGTTCATTGTTCTATTTTTTTTATTATCGTAAAATGTATTTATACTTTGGAAAGTCAAAATTTTAAATTTAAAAATTTCTAAAATTATCCCTTACAAAGAAATTATAAATATATTTAAAATGAGAATACAAAGGTATTTTTGGAATTTTATCTTTAAAATTTGAATTCAAAGTGTAATGATTATGTCTTCTTAAAAAGTTTGAATTTTTAAAAAGGATTATTAATTTGGGACGGAGGAGTATGTATTAGTAGGTGGCGCACGCAATATGTGTGCAATTGAAATAAGTAAGAATAAAAAAAAATTAATAACGAAATTAATATTGTGATGTGTACTTAGCTTAAGTGATATTAGTTCTTTTACTTTAAATCCAAGGCCATGGATACAAGCTTTGCCTTTCTCTTTGCGTAATTTTATTTGTTTTAAAATAGAAGAACAAAGATTTCACTATATATATATATAACCTTTTTTTATTTTATTTTATTTTATTCAGATTGTTGTGGACTTCACGGCTTCATGGTGTATATTTTGCAAAATCATAGCACCGGCTGTGAAAGAATATGCTCAGAAATACAGTAATGTTGAGTTTCTCAAAATCGACATGACTTCTCCTCAAACTCCCTTCATGGTACGTCCACATGTTCATTTTTGTTTTGTTTTTATTTTATATTTTTTATAATAATGATTATTATTTACTATTGTTATTGTTATGATATTTTTGTAGTATCATCACTCCACCAAAAAAAAAAAAAAAAAATCTTAAAGCTAAAAAGTTTTTTTTTGTTTGGTTTTGAATTTTTTAAAATATTTTTTGAGTTTTTTGGTTTTAATGTTTTGTTGTACAACTTTAGTAAAACATATATATATATATATATATATTAGTCATTTTTTAAGGATGCACTTAAAACAAAAAATATTTATGAAAAGTGTAATGAATTTTTGTATTTTTTATATTTAGTAAATTTGTTTTTTAAAAATTCATAAATATTTTATTTTTTATGTGTATCTAGATTAAGTAAATTTAAAAATAAATTTAAGAATTTGCTTAAAATATTTAAAAATTTTATCATAAACAAAAAACACAAAACAAAAAATTCAAAAACTATTTTTGAAAACTATTTACCAACCATCTCTAATGGGTGTGCACCCTTATTTGATTAGAAAAAATTTAATATCACGGCAATTCTATGTCACCATTGACATGTGGTATTAGATGATAATATCAATGACATAATATTACTATTGTATTAATTTTTTTTTTCTTATTTGATGGGATCTCTTAATTTTTTTAAAATAATTAAATTACATAAAATAAATTATTAATTATACAACTAATTTTTTTTAAAGAGTTTTTGTTTGCTTGATGGGGGATGGGACCCCATCAGCAACACATTGGAGTCGCCGTGCTTGGGCCGGAGAGAATAGTACGCGCGAGCAAATTATGCCACCTTCACTTTTTGTCTTATAAGTTGAAGGTTTAGATTTTGTTGACCCATTTGCCCAATAAAATGTTTGGTTTTTTTGGATTTAAAATTGGATTGGTAAAAAGGTGGACAAAATTTTGAACCATTAATTCACAAAATTGGCGGATGTGGCGAGCATTCAGTACTTACACTGTCCAATACGTGCGTTGACTTATTTATTTATTTATTTTTTATGAAAAAAAATCATAAATTTGAGTGTATCAGTAAGAATTAAAAAATCTTTACTGATTAAATTTAAATTAATTATCAAGCGATTATGTTGACGGTTCTTTATCTCAACGAAGAGGATTTCAAAATCGCCAAGTATAGAGGAAAAAAAAATTAAAAGAAGAGAGGAAGATAGAGAAAGATGATTGAGCAAATCATCGGGATGATTGAGTGAACAATCAAAAGTAACCATTAATTACCTCTACTCCTATGTTTCGAAAAGGAAGTGCATAAAATAAAGTGTAAGAAATATATAAATGATAAGAAAAATAGAAATCAATTATCTTTGAGTTGGATGGTTATAAAGAAAAAACTTGTAGGTAAAAACTATCTAGTAACTATCCTACTCTTCTATTTCCTCCATTTCACACTTCATGATCTTCCACTTCATCTCTATGTCTCTATAATTTCCTTTAACCTTTATTTAATGTTCCATGTTCTCTACTTTATCCCCTATCATTTTTTCACATATGTTTAATACTTCATAACTTCTCATTAGCCATTTTATCAAAATTAAATTTTGATGTGACCCACAAATCCAAAATAGATTTTGAACACTGAAAGTCATGTCATAATATTGCCTTGGAAATTCAAATGTTTTGATATTTTCAACAATGGAAAATATTTTAAATCCATCAATAGCTTGATCATCATTTTTATCCATGTTTGGTTTAAGAATATGTTCCTTCGCCAAATAATTTTTATCATTCATTGACAAATGGAATTGTTTTTCTATTTTAGCCATTAATGGTTTATGAGAAATTCCCATAGGCATGTTGTCTTCATAATTTGACTCTCAAAAAATGGATTTTTAGAGCGCTCGAGCCATATATGAAACATCATTCCTATTCATGTTTGGCTTAAGAACATGCTTTCTACCTAAATGAGTAGGAGAGTGTCACATGTCTTGTAATTATATAAATAATAAATAACAATAAAATGTTAGATTTATGGTGCCAACAATGTGCTTCCGAACTAGAGACAACCTCGGCCCAAAATTATTCTTATGTATTTATCTATAATTTTAAAAATAATTTTATGTCACCTTTGCTCAAAGATATATCTATTTCTATTCTATTTTATAAAACGTACATTTAAATTGATGTAAATATTGTCACATATTCATGTTTTTTAATTATGGCCTTCTCATCCGATAACTATCACCACTTTCTAACTAATAACTGTGACATCTGATAATTAATAAAATAATTTTTCTTCTCTATTCAAAAACTGCTAATCAATCAAATTATTCAACAATTTAAATATTGGACAAATTGCACCAATGCCTCCTATATTTTTGCTTTATTTGACTTTATTATTATTTTTATTTTGTCTTAATTTAATCTAATTGATTCAACAATTTGATTTTTTTGTTTTCATTTTATGGAAAATGCATATATGAGTGACATGTGCCATATTTTTATGGATAAAATTATGAACTCGATCAATTTAGTGAGTTAACTTCAACCAACTCAATGATAATTTTTATTCAAAAATCTTAACGTCATTATCAATTAGATCAAATTGATATAAAATTTAAAATTAGGAGTCAAATTGAGCAAATTGGAAGTCTAGGGACCAAAATGATTCAATGGATAAGTGTAGGGACTACCAATGTAATTTGTTCTTCAAAACTTATTTATTGGGAAAATTAACTTGGGAGTCCCTATACTTTGGTTTTTTATGTCATTTGTTCACTGTAACTTTAACTGGCTTGATTTTGACTTTAAACTTTTTTATTTTGTCTCAATTTGGTCAGCTTCATTTCAATTGTTAGAGCATTGTTTTATGAAAAAATGAACACATGAGCCACATGTGCCATGTTTTTAGAAAAAAATATATATATAAACTTGATCAATTTAGTGAGTTAAGCTCAACTACCTTAATGACAATTTTCTATCAAAATCCATAACAGAGTTATCAAATAGATTATATTGATGAATTCAAAAAAAAAAAAAAAAAAAGAAGAAGAAGAAGAAGAAGAAGAAGAAGATGAAATTGTCACAAATTCTAATGTTTTTCTTTTTTGATTGGTGAAAGTCAGTTGTTACTTTTCAGATTAGCACAGATGTAAGTTAATCTCCGTACATTTATAAAGCACCAAGTACTTGCCCCAATAATTTAACCCCCCTAAGGATCCTTACTGGAGAGTTGAACCCATTACCTCCCCTTAGGGACTAAGCCCCTAGGAAAGTCATAGTGACCAATTAGGCTTAGTCTAGTTGGTTACATAGAACCTAATTTTAAGGGTCAAAATTGAGCTATTTGAAAGTGTAAGAATCCAAATAATACAAGGGGAAAAGTGTGGTGACTACTTGTGAAATTTGCCTTTATTTATTCTATTAATATATAAAGCGTACACCTCAGTTAGTGTGAATATTGTTACATATTTTATTTTTTTAATAATGCCCTTCTCGCTATCATTCCCTCCCATCCAATAACTATTAGATGATTTTTCTCATCCATGGAACAATCCAAAATTGCTAATCAAAGATTCTTATTCATCAAACCATGCAAATATTTAAATATAAAATTATCAACACATTGTATTTACACCCACCATTAATGTATAATTGTATATAAACAATATAACTAAAATTTTATAAAATGTTTATAAAAAATATTCTCTTATACCATTCATTGCACAAGTTATTTAATCAAGAGATTACATGTGCTCGAGGATTGGGGGGTGTACTTTGATGCTTTTTGCACCTCCTCTCTTTATTGATGTTTTCCCATATGTAATGTATGATTTCTCATCAATAAAGTTCTTTTTTGCTCATCAAAAAAAAAAGAGATTACATGTGCTCGAGGATTAATCGAGGTGAATCCTGGATACCATGGTGACATCCATCAATTTTCAATTCGTTTTATTTATTTATTTTTAAAGTAACAATAAAAAAAAAATTTAAAAAAAGAAGAGGATAATACTAATAAGTACTGTGGAAAGTGCAGGATGTGGCTCGGAAATATGATGTGAGAGGATATCCAACGTTTATAATGATGAAGAATGGGGAGAGTGTTGAGAAGGTTATAGGGGCCAAAGATTACATGTGCTCGAGGATTAATCGAGGTGAATCCTGGATACCATGGTGACATCCATCAATTTTCAATTCGCTTTATTTATTTATTTTTAAAGTAACAATAAAAAAATATTAAAAAAAAGAAGAGGATAATACTAATAAGTACTGTGGAAAGTGCAGGATGTGGCTCGGAAATATGATGTAAGAGGATATCCAACGTTTATAATGATGAAGAATGGGGAGAGTGTTGAGAAGGTTATAGGGGCCAACAAGGAAGAACTCAAGAGAGCGATCGAGAAGCACAAGGCCTAATACTAATTAATTAGTTTGTATTATTTTCTATAAAATCGTTTTTATATTATACTATATAGAATATATATGTATATGGTTATCCAAGAAAGTACACAAAAATGATGTTGAGGCACTAGTCTCCATGGATTACATCTCTAAATAAGATCTCTTGTTTGCCTTATATTACATCTCTAAATAAGATCTCATGAATGATGTTGAGGCACTAGTCTCCATGGATTACATCTCTAAATAAGATCTCATATTTGCCTTATATTACATGTCTAAATAAGATCTCATGTTTGCCTACAATCTCTCTCTCTCTCTTTCTCTCTTTCTCTCTAAGTCCTAGTCTTTGAAATGATCTATCCATCAGTTAATTAGTTAAAACTTGCTATTTAGAGAGATTTTTATTTGAATTTTGTGGGCCGTGTCATCGATATTCCCAAGTTTCCTTGTAGTTTTCAACATCTCTATTGTGTTTTTCTGCTTCTTATAATTTTAATTATTTAGTTTTCTAATCGGAGTGTGTTTCTTTTATTTTTGAAATACTAAATTTGAATTTTTAGTCAAAATTTTGAAATTAACTATCAATACAGGTGACATGACATTTTCCAAAAAAAGTGAAATTTCACTATTTGAAGGCAAATTTACTATCCAAAGGCACCAAGACAATTTCACTAGCTTCATGAAATTTCACTGTCATAAAATGCGAACATAGTGAAATTTTATACTTTTTATCAAAATTTTAAATTCATCAACGTCTTATTTGATAAATCGCAATGATACGATTCAAAAAAATATAGATTTTTATTAAAAATGGAGTTCTAAATAAAAAATTATTAAAATTTTAACAAAGTGAAAGGTGCTGAATTTCCTTAAACATTATTATGAGGGTCTTTGGTCAAAATATTTGAGAATCCAACTACCATTTTCTTTTTTTATTTTACAAACTTATAATAATAGATCTCTAATCAAAATTCCTTAAATTAATTTATACTTTGCATTGAAAGAAGTCCTTTTAGCTCTTACCACTATGTTGCTTGATCAAATTGGCTCTGGCTTAGCACCCCATGACAAAACCAAACTTCAGTGGTATTTGCCAGCAAAACAAAGTAGATTTTTGAGAACAAAACAGAACTATATTCTGACTATAAATAGAGCAGATTCTGGCAACAAACAGAGAGGTTTCCAGAAGATGTTCTCGTTTGTGCACATGCGACTCGCCACTCATTCAAGTCCATTAGATTAGTAGCTTTGATATTTGTATTGTGTAATAATTAGTTGATTATTCATTCATTTAGGTTTGTAATAATTAGTTAATTAGGCCATTCGAACCCTCTTGTGCGAGAGCAAATTTGTAATATTTGTATATCTTCCAACCCCATTTCTTTCTTTCTTTTACTTACATGCTTATCGTGGTTATATGTAGTATCATGTTTTCGTTTCAAATCATTACCATGCTTTGCATCCATTTTTTCATGTATTAAGGTTCGATTAATCATTTTTGAATATCATTGTCATTTTCTACTTATTTGAATATGTGCGTTACCATATGCTTTGAGTTAATCCACATGATATGTTAATAAGCTGAACCTAGTAGTTGCATTCTATTTTGCATATAGGGTCATGCATTTTTCTAATTGCTTTCTTTTTCTTTAGCTTACCTTGGAGTACTAGGTGAGCATTTTTTACTTTAGTATATTCATGTGTGTGATTGTTGCCATGCTTAACATCTTACTATGAGGCTATGTGCTTACTCAAAATGAACTGTTTGAATGCCTGTGGATGAAGGTTATTTTATTTGCATTGGGGATGATCTTGATCAAATGTACGCATAAGCTCATATCCTTTCTTTTGAGTTGTGTGCACTCAAAACCTTTTTAAAAATCATGTAAAATCAAGTCATTTCCAAAGTAAGAGAAACAGTTTATACTTGTGTGCCTCACATAGTAAATGTTAGCATAATAAAATCAGAACATGAGCATGTAATGTCCATAAAATTCACATCATGATTTAGTAGAGACCGATCTTTGATTGGATGAGTGGGGTGCTCAATTCATTTCCATTTCATACCTAAGTTCCCGAGCCAAGACACTTTGGTTATGACAGACAAGTGGCCTTTGGCACGAGCCACGGATTTCCTAAAATTTCCAAAAATATTTAAGTGACGATTATGAAATCTGGCAATGCAGTTCATTTTTGGCATCTCTGATAATTAATAGATTTTCTAGGATTTGCCGGATTTCAACTCTCAATCATTTTTCTGTTTCACATTGCACTGTGAAACCAGATTCAGAACCACGAGAGTCCGTACTGTAGAGCCATTGTACCTGATGAGACTAAACCCCTCCAAGAAGCGCGAAAACCCGCTACAGATATGATAGAAAGGTATTAAAAATACACATGAAAAAATAGTAAGGGTTGTTAGAGATATATCCTTATTCGTTAATAGGGCTACAAGGTCAAGTTGAGTCGTACTTTAGTCTATTTTGCTTTGTTTATTAAGATTTTAACAAATTCGAGTTCGAGTTTAAATTCAATAAAAATTTAACAAACCAAATTCAAATAAGTCCTTATTGAGCCGAACTCGAGTCTGTTCATGAATGACTATGTTCATTTGTAGCCCATTGATTGATATCTCCTCATTTATCTTATATTAGACTCTGTCGTGCTGACATTTATATTCTTATTATTTTTATGTGGTTTAATTTTATATGTAATAAGGAAAAGCTTATGTACTAACTAATAAGAAAGTTTATATTTGTGATAGTGAGAAATACATAGTTGAGTTAATGACAAACAATGATGCTTTTTCCACTATAAACTGAATAATTATCTGTGATCTGAATAATTATCTTTGATATATAGATGCTTTTCCCACCATGTAATTTGGAGGAATTGGAATTCCATTGCCATGCCATTTGAACTTTTTTAAAAGAAAAAAGGGAATAAAAGTAAAAATGTCTTCGAATCAATGCATTGGGAAATGATACCTTTCTTAACTTGCTGTAACTTGGAGAGTACAACTTGATGTATGTAGGGGTGTAAATTTGGTCCGGCCCGGCCCATGTCTGGCTGAGCCGGCCCACGGGCCAGAAAATTAGGTCTAGGCCCAGGAGGTATTTGGGCCTTGGGCAGACCAACAGGCCTAGGCTCGGGCTTGAACTAGGCCTGGATGGGCCTGAACATTTTTTTTCCTATTTTTTTCACCAAATTTTTTTATTTTCCACAAAAAATGACATTGGGTCTCGAGCCTAAGTGGGCCAGGCCTCAAACCGGGAATTCCATTGCCATGCCATTTGAACTTTTTTAAAAGGAAAAAAGGAATAAAAGTAAAAATGTCTTTGAATCAATGCATTGAGGAATGATACCTTTCTTAACTTGCTCTAACTTGGATAGTTCAACTTAATGCATGTAAGGGTGTAAATTTGGCTCGGCCCGGCCCATGTCAGGCTGAGCCGGCCTATGCTCCAGAAAATTAGGTCTAGCCCAGGAGGTATTTGGGGCTTGGTCAGGTCGACATGCCTAGGCCTGGGTGGGACTGAACATTTTTTTTTCTATTTTTTTCACCAATATTTTTTTATTTTCCACCAAAAATGACACTGGAACTCGAGCGGGCCAGGCTTAAACTAGGCTTTGAGTGGGCCTTGAACGGACTGATGGGCTAAAGTAAGAGGGCTAAGCTCATAGGTCGGATCAGGCTTCAAAACACACGGCCCAAGCCCAGGCCTAGGGTCTCGAGCTGGGCTTGGGCCTAGCTGAGCTTAGTCGGGCCGAGTCCACTAGAGCCGCGGGTGGGTTTTGTGCTATCCACAAGCCATTTTTACAGTCCTAGATGCATGGAACTTAACAAGAAGGTTCCTTGCATTTTAACCCACAAACGGACTGATGGGCTAAAGTAGGAGGGCTAAGCTCATAGGTCGGATCGGGCTTCAAAACACACGGCCCAAGCCCAGGCCTAGGGTCTCGAGCTGGGCTTGGGCCTAGCTGAGCTTAGTCGGGCCGAGTCCACTAGAGCCGCGGGTGGGTTTTGTGCTATCCACAAGCCATTTTTACAGTCCTAGATGCATGGAACTTAACAAGAAGGTTCCTTGCATTTTAACCCACAAGTCTGCAAGGGTAATTTGATTCTCAAAAAAGAAAAAATAAAAATGCAAGGGTACAAACATTACGTTTCAAAATCATGGACATGAATCAGATCCTAGTTATATTTTGTAGAGAGAATTTCAATACAGTGGGATAAACAAAAAAAACTTACAAAAACATGTGGGGTGCAAATGATTCTGTGATAGGATACAAGTGAAAGGCTGTGAGGATGCAATCCGTGTAAAAACAAATTTCCTGTCCTACTCGAATGTAATTCTTCCTATTTTATAAAATGAGTACATTTATATATATAGAACTAAATTGTAAAGAAATATTGAAAAATTGCACCTCATCATAACAAAGATATGATAGAAAGGTATTAAAAATACACATGAAAAAATAGTAAGAGTTATTAGAGATATATCCTTATTGGTTGATAGGGTTGCAGAGTCAAGTTGAGTCAAACTTTAGTATATTTTGCTTCATTTATTAAGATTTTAACGAATTCGTTTTCGAGTTCGAATTCAATAAAAGTTTAACGAACCGAATTTGAATAAGTATTTACTGAGCTAAACTCAAACATGTTCATGAATGACTCTGTTCATTTGTAACCATATTAACTGATATATTTCATCATTTATCACATATCAGACTTCGTCGTGTTGACATTTATATTCTTATGATTTTTATGTGCTTTAATTTTATATGTAATAAGGAAAAGCTTATGTACTAACTAATAAGAAATTTCATCTTTGTGATAGTGGGAATTACATAGTTGAGTTAGTGACAAACAATGAGTGTTTATCCAATTTCATTTGTGATTTTTTATTTGTTAGTGACATTATGTACGATGGTATTATTAGCAGGGGTGATGATGCCAACATAGTTGGGATCATCTCTCCCTACGATGATGCAATCTTGGATCTCAGTTTGCTGATAAAAAAACGTATGATGATATCAGTGTTACACTAATTATTGTTATCCAAAAAGATGCATTGAAAAGTATTCTGAAAATAAAGTAACATGAAATAATATAACACATTTTATTTTCAAGATATTTTTTCAATATTAATAGTATGTACACACTTTTCTGAGGATAAATTACAGATAGTCTAAAAATTTGATACAATTATATTGAATCTGTTTTAGTAAATTCAAATTTGATCGAAACTAATGCATATGATG